TTTCCACCGAAAAAGTAAAAGCTGAATATTTGTATGCATGTTTTCACGAAATATAATGGTATTTTAAGGGCATCGTAAACGAATAAGAAATTGCAGGGGCAGTTTAAGCCCGAAATGCGATATTTTATAACCCACTGCTTACTGATATTCAGTTTACCCTTGAATATGCCGAATTTGCTGAGCACAGTAGCTTTGAGCCATTGGAAAATTCTAACACCCAGTCTTGCAATTATGCGTCTGTCGGTTCTGCTTTATGGCAGAGCACGCCGGATCACCGTCGGCGGTTCTGTTTGGACCCCTGGGACGAACACGTAGACAGCGATCTGAAACCACTTCGGGTAACCGCTGCGTATGAAGTGATCGCGTAGACGGCGGGAGACCACTTCACGTTGAGTCTAAACCCGTTAAACGAGTGTTTTTTCTCTTATGCGTCACGTAATGTCTGAAGTTAAGCTTATTAACTCATTAGATCCGCATGCAGCCTCCTTTACGTTGAATATTGCTCGAAAATGTGTAAAGATCCGTTCGACCGCAATCCGCGTAGGAGAAAAATATTTGAGCAGTTGTTGTCTATTGTATTGCACAATGTGGAGTTGCAGTCAATGCACAGGTGCGCACAGCCTGTCAGCAGGTATTCAGAGCGCCGCATATTTTGATGCCCCCCAGCTATTCTCGACTGACAACGAATTTTACAAACTGTGTGGACGTATGTAAAAGTTGCTACTAAGCTGACAGCAGATGTGACTTAATTTTCATCGTCATAAGACGCACTTATATTTGAACCTGACGCAATGCTCGCTGCAGAAAACAATGGCCGCCAGTACGCTTTTGTTCCAAAGACCATTAGGACAGTTGAGTAGTATTTGCGCAGAAAATCGTACGTTGGTTTGACTATCGCAAACAACTGGGGTCCCTTTGCGTGCCTGCAGAGGCGAGTTGGGAGACAGTAAAGGACTATGTGTGCAAACGCCACCACTAGCACAAGGCAAGGACTGCAAACTACCATCTCTACACACGGTGTGCTCCCTAGCTGGATACACGCACGCACACTTCCGACCACCGTTTCACGCAATCAATATGTCAATCACGGCCCACCGAGTCGAGTTTGGCGCATGCCTGGCGGTGTGGTGGAAAACCACCGGAGAGTGCAAATCGCTAGCGAGCACCGGAAATGCGTTGTGAATGGAGCGCTGTCTTGCCAGCGTTAGAATTTTTCATCTCACCTTACCACTTGCGTGCAGAGTAGCCATGTCACCTGTTCAGCAGGCGTACGTAAAACGCTGGCGTCTAGGAGGCAATAAACTCGATATGACGTTGTCTTCAGTAGTTCCCTCGAGATCTCGAACTGTTAGTCATCACATAGCAGAAAGTGGTGCAATCTGCTTCCTATCATCTGACTCCAAGCAGCAATGGCTGCAATAGTGACTGTTTAAGTACCATTAATTTTTCATATTGGTTTTCAATGCTTTTGAAAATCCAAATGTGTCATTCAAACCATGCCTAAAATATTCATCCTTTGCTCATTTGGTAGAAAACTGCGTCTTCTTTAAATTTTATCATTGAGAGAAAAATAAAATCAGGTTTTGTAAAAGCTCTCATTTTGGGATATTTTAAGCCCGTGAAATGGCCCGTTCATAAGATATCGAGTCTCTGAATTTACTTATGTTGCCTGTAAAGACTACAATATTGCTCAAGTGCACTACTAATCTTTACGAACCCCAAATGCTCTCCCTCTTAATAACTTATGGAAATTAACTATTTTCTAACGCGGAAAATACCCTGTTTGTAGTTTTGAAACCGTCAATGCAAGTGGAACGGCGGGTAAGTTCCAAAATTATTCGGTAAACAGAAAACCTTTTTAAAAAGAAGACGTGGTTTTCTGCAAAATTAGTAAGGGAATAAATGTCTTTATGCAGACTTTCTGGGAGATTTATTTAAATTTAAAAAGGTATCCAAAATCAATGTGAAAGCTTGACGCGAATTAAGCAGCCAATTTTATAGAGTGCTGGTTTTGCAGGCGGCCAAAATGAAACACATTCAAAGGCCGGCATCCTGGGACAACTGAATTTTCACAGAAGGTAACAGTTGGAAGAGGGCACCCAAATATCCGCTGCCTTGAAATAATACCTGTTATACCTATTTGAGTAGAATATGGCCCTACATATTTGTTGTTTCATCCGACCTCAATTTTACCTGATCTGCAGCGCACATTTTGCCTTACTTAGATTATCATAGTCTCCAACAGTTGAGATGCGACCGCTGCAGACCGAGCCATGATTAATCAACCTTGACGTAGGCTTACACGGCTGAAGAGTGACAGCAGTAGTGGGTTTGCGGCTAAGTCGACCTTTGCATACCTTTGGAGATTTCAGAACCAATCGCATAGTTAAGGAAATTTGGGTAATTATCGCTTTAGACCAGTCCTATGTTTATCCACGTTGACATTAGCTTCCACAGCTGAAGAGCGAGCGCAGTAGTCGATATGCGGCTTAATCTATGGTAGAATACGTTCAAACACTTGCGATACGATCGCTGTGGACCGATCCTTTGGCTTATCCATTATGGTCATTTCTTCCTTAGGTGGGGAATGACCGCAGTTGTAGGTATGCGGCTCAATCGATGGCGCCATACCCTCTGGACAGTTGCAAAATTATCGCCGTAGGCCCACCCTACGTTAAACAACCTTAATTTAAGCTTGCACTGCTGACAAGGGACCGCTGTAGTCCCTTTGCGTATTATTCTATAGCAGCTTACCTACGGACAATTACAATTGACCGAGCACTTAAATTATCAATTTTTTCCATTACTTTCAAAGGTCAGGAGCTACCGCAGTCGCCAGTGTGCGGCTCAGTCAATGGCTGCATAGCTTAGGACAGTTGCGATAAGATCGCTTCTATGGCCAGCAGTATCTTTTGTGTGCCCTCTTCCGATTGTTACCAAATTTCTGTTAACATTTCATGGGTTAGCACATCTACTGTATATTCGAAGGGGTAACGGCACGCTGGCTGCAGAAAGCAATGACTGTTAGTATGCGAATCGTTCTATCATGGTTTACTCAACACTAACAACATTTAGATTCGTGATCTTATTCATGCAAACATGTAAAGAATCTACGCCTTCGATTATTTAAGTTTCTGCATCAGTCGATGCATGCAATGGCAGAAGCAGCCTCCGCAGGTCTACTCAATCCCACCTTGTGCTCTCGTAGAGCGTCAATACAAACGCTAAACCTCCCCTGACCAAATTCGAACTCGGCATGTGTGTATACACTTCCTGGTACTTCGCGTTAAAGCGACGAAACAGGGCCATGACTGATTTCCAGACATCTTACCCCCCCCCTCCAACCCTCTTATAGAATTACATTATGACCCTGGCCTCTAAACGGCCTCATCCCCCTATTTCATACCTATAATCTATTGATTATCTAACTCTTGTAACTCTACTCTCTCTTATATTACTGAAGGGGCCCGATGATGAATGATCAAGGCATATGTTTTCCGAACTTGACTTCCTCAAGTTACTATATTGTTTTGGACAAAGATGCGATGTAGGACCCCCGAGTAGATAGCAGATCGAAAAATATGCCCTAAAATTCAGTGCCACCGTAAACATCACTAATGATTCACAGTTGTCATTGTTCGAAATTTCCAACTTTTTCGGACTAGATGTAAACATACCATCGGCGTTTTATTCAATGTCCATTATTTCTCAACAGCTGCGGCAGAAACCAATGACTGGTAGCGGACAATTAGGCACTTTCCGGTTTGACTTTTCATTTTTTTCATCCTGGCACATTTTCACCTTCCTGGCGCGCCAACTTACGCCTAACTACGAGTACTATGGACATTTTTACAAATGCTACTTTCATTTCACCATAATCATCGCTCCGCGAGTCCATAAATAGGATCGAGTGCGAATTGTCCTGCTTGTCTTTAGAAACCTGCCCGTACACGTCTGGCATTATGTCAGCCAGAAACGTGGTGCACGCTTCCTTATTTTCTACATTTACGCAAACCGACATCGCATAACCTTCAGCTACTGAAATCTGACGGCTTTCCAACCTGTACGCACCCTCAAGGAAGGTCCACCTGGACAACATGTCCAACTGGTTATTTGAATTGCTTAAAAATTCACGATTACGACAAATATACAGGTATTGTTTTTGAAACATGTAAAATACGCGCTCGGATGAAAAGCGACCTCTTTGCTGAAAAGAGAGCAATCACATGTCCAGATAAATTGACTGGCACGCAGGGACCACTGCGTTCCAATACAATCTCTTTGGCGGCCATTCAGTCATCTAGGCTGTTTGGTAGCTGTATGGGGTCTTTATTCTATAGGAATCCCTTTGCCTTGGCTATTCGGAATAAATTTGCCTTCTCAGCAGTATAGTTTACTCAAATATTTTTCTAAATCAGTGAATTTAGGAGAAGGACACGTGTGGCCTACATCCCCATTTAGAAACAATGTCGTGAAAGCAGTTAATTATCTTGACCGGATTCACAGTGTGCCCTCGGCCATTTATTGGGAAACTGTGCTTCAAATGTACATTGAACGTCGACTAAGAACTAGCAACACCCCACCCCCCCCCCCACAACCTGTGACATTTGCAGGTAATTTTATCATTCCAATCCGCATACCTTACAGTATTTGCATTTATCGCTCATTGTCTTCCCCTCTGCAGGTTGCCCGAACGAAGGCATGGTTTGCTTATCGTATATCAAGGGTTCTCATAATAGGGAACATTCCTTTGGAAGTTGTCACTTCAGCGTTTTGAAGTTGCGAAAATTCCCATGGAATAATGCGGAAGAGTATTTGGCGGGCTAACACTTGCTTTGCATTTGTATGGGAACGATGTACAAACTGAACATGTGAGTGATAAGTGCAATCGATTATGGTTCGTCCTTTCATACAAACGGGGTAGGTGAATAGAGTTGGGGGGAGGGTTAGGTTGAGCCGCGTCACAATGGGGGAGGGAAGGAGGTGGGGGCGCGGAGACTTCATGCGTTCTCTTTAATTATGATCAAGGCGAGGACATACAGCATAATATTCCAGGTGTTAACGGCGCATGCGCTGCGGAAGGAAACGCGTAGGGTCTTGTAATCTGGAACGTTCGAATTCCCGACTATAACGATTTGAATTGTGCCGTTTCCAGCCAGTTTTCCTTCAAGCATATAGCCACTAGTTCCAATATATCCCGTAATCAGAACGGCATTCTTCCCCTTGTAAAATGTGGTAACTGTTTGACCAATAGAATAAAACGAAATTTTGACAGAATTCGACGCGAATACTGCTTAAAGTTAGACTCGTATTTAAAGCCGTACACATGGCAATTTAACTGCTTATATGAAATAACTAACAATTCGCAGTAATCATATAATATATGAAAAACATCACAATATGCACAGCCAAACGTGTAGAGATCCAGAGCAAACAATTTTGGTTCAAAAGAATACATGAATCAAAAAACCACCTAATTCCACATGCAAATCCGTTCTGAAACCGAATTGTTACCATTTACAAGTGTTCTGGTTGACTATTCTCGCAAAGTATGAAGCTTTTCATTTGCCAACGGTAATATACCCGCTTGAGTGGTTTTATTTGAACACAATTTACATTTCTTACTACTTGTCTTTTACGTTTTATCCTTATGGAATACCAAAGTGGATTGTACAACCGATGTTATTAACCATTCTTCGACAAATATAAATTTCGATCTCCGTAGTATATGCACATTAATATTTATGGCGTAACATAGTCTGACTTCCGATCAGTATTTGAGGTGGACAGCATTAATTTGGTTGTGTTTTGACTTATGCATCTCTGCAGGCATATGTTTAAAAGGTGACTTACGGTAGGGGACCATTAGCCAACGTACACCGGACGTCACTCCATCTCTTATCTGTATATTTCCATTAACGATTGTGTCCTAACAAGCAAGAAATGTTTGAAATAACCAACAATGCGCATAAATGTTTACATTTCATGATCAAATTGATAAGCATACCTGCACTGTCTCATTATATATAAGGAATGTAACAGAATTTGTTTGCGGGTCCAGTTGAAGCACTTCAGTTTGACCAATCCCTTTAGACCGCGGCAGACCTGCGTGTAAATTTCGAATTATTAGCCTATACACGTTTCGCTGCAGTAGTGCTGTGTTTTTAAAAAAGGTATGCCAAACCGCTTCTTTCGAAAATTGCAGAATATCTCTACTTAATTACTAACAGTGAGGACTTCGCAAGGCAGATCGTTGAGAATGATAAGGACCAAAGTCGTGCGACATTTGCTGCAGCGTAAAATGAGTGATTCTGCAAACGATCCGAAAATCAAATCATTTCCGACAAATGACTCGCGATCTAATTGCCCTCCATAAAATTATGTTGTTATTTCAAAGGATTATTCAATAACTGGGATCCCTTGAAACTCATGAAAATTGTTTTGAACAAGAACTGCACTTACCCTTTGAAGTTTCATTTAGGTCTCTGACAAGTATTTCAGTTGGGGATTTTTTGCGATCACTTGGCGTTAAAATGATAGTGCCGTTTCCAGATACCTTATCTGAGTTAAGTTGTGCGTACAATCTGTCTGGATGGGGGAAAAGGAGAATGATGAATAAAATGGGTAGTTTTTCCATACAACAGAAGAATGAGACAATCTGAGACTGTCCAAATTGCTTGCTCAGAAAAGAAGCAAGCATAATAATTGGTAACCCACCGCTTAGCAATTCCCAACATGATTGCCCTGCTACGCAGGGATCAGACGGCGAACCCCGTCGGACTGATACATTCCCTTTAACAAACGACTAAAACAGAAAAAAACAGCCTCGGCATTATAACAGCCAACACTGCAGATGATGTATTCAAAATGATGCAAACTCACCAACGGTGTCCCTTCAACAGCAATGAGTACTGCATAGCTCGAGTTATATTTTACAGTGAAAGTGTACATTGTACCGGCTGGAAAATAATGTAATCAAACCCTTGATCAAGTGCAGTCGCTGAAACGCAGCATATCAGATATGCAAAGCGAAACGGTTACAGTATTTTATGTTTAGACCTACTATGTAGCAAACTTACCCAGTGCGGGTGAAATAACCGCACAAAGAACCCCCAGGATAAGCATCGACACGAAAACATGGCTGTATGCCCCCTAGAACAAAGAGCAATTAATCTAAATACAAGTGCCAAGTTACTCCAAGTGCGATCATATCGAAGATGATGCAGGATTCAATGAAAGGTAGTTAGTTCTCAAGCTCGCATAAACCCCTTGAATTTATATGCGCACATGGGGCACCAGGTTTTCGCACACCTTAAGACATAACGCACGGCGAGTTCCCCTCTGTGTGCCTAAAAAGGCCAATTGGGAGACAATTAAGGACTATGTGTGGAAACGCCACCACTAGTTGAAGGCAAAGGCTAAAAACTACCGTTTCTACGCACGGTGTGCTCCCTAGCTCGGCGCGCCTACGCCCGCCTACGAGGACCGTCCTACGCAATCAACCCGTCAATCACCACTCACCGCATCCAGTGGGGTGTATACTCTGGCAATAACTGTGGTTCAATAAATCCCCAATTTAATTTTATTTGCATTTGCAGTTGTTGGAGCATAGGAAAATGCCTGGCGGTGTGGTGGAAAACCACCGGAGAGTGCAAATCGGCAGCGAGCACCGGAAATGCGTTCTGAGTGGAACGTTGTCTTGTTAGCAGCAGTCATGGCACTTTTCATCTTACCTTACCAATTGCGTGCAGAGTAGCCATGTCACTTGTTCAGCAGGCGTACAGAAAACGGTGGCGGCTGGGAGGTAATGAACTCGACACAGGGCAGCTGCCATGACATTGTCTTGTCTTCGGTAGTTTCCTCGAGATCTCGGACTGTTAGTCAGCACATAGCAGAAGGCGGGGCAATCTGCTTCGTATCATCTGACTACAGGCAGCAATGGCTGCACATTGATTTTCAGTGCTTTTTTTAAATTCAAATGCGTCATTCAAACCTCATCCTAAGCCCAGAATGCAATCAATCCTCAGCTTGTCTTACTTTGGGCACTGGTGATTATCATACATAATGCCTGCAAAGCCTACCTTGTGGTTCGTCTTGAATGTCTGAACAACCGTTTGTTATAATTCGTTCTCCCCTCACATGGCCTGCTAACGTTCAAGTACGCGTAATCCGGGCATACGTTCAGTTGGACTGGTATCATTCTAATATAATTACAGGGGCAGTTTGAGCCTAAAATGCGATATTTTATAACCCACTGCTTACTGGTATTTAGTTTACCCTTGAATATGCCGAATTTGCTGAGCACAGTAGTTTTGAGCCGTTGGGAAATTCCAACACCTAGAGTCTTGCAATTATGCGTCTGTCGGTCCTGCTTTATGGCAGAGCACGCCGGATCACCGCCAGCGGTTCTGTTTGGATCCCCTGGGAGGAACACGTAGACAGCGGTCTGAAACTACTTCGGGTAACCGCTGCGTGTGAAGTGATCGCGTAGACGGCGGAAGACCACTTCACGTTGAGTCTAAACCCGTTTAACGAGTGTTTTTTCTCTTGTGCGTCAATTAACGTCTGAAATTAAGCTTATTAATTCAGTAGATCTGTATGCAACCTCCTTTACGTTGGATCCAGCGCCGAATGCCGCACGCAACAGTTCAGAAGTCTTCACTACCTGTGAGTAGGCTGTACGCCTGACAGGTGACTGGCGTTGTTTTCGTGCAGTCCTCAGTCAGCTTCATCGGGGGTGCTTTTGAAAATTTCAATCCCCCACAATTCACCGGGAGCTTTTGTTCGCTGTCGTCCTCTCTAGCTCGTTGCCTATTGTGGCACCAGTGCATGCGTGCTTCAGTGCTCGTTTATCCGGACCTCTTTTGCAGGAAGCTCTGACTGACCCATTTATGTGCCGCTGGTAGATTCAGCAGTAGCCAGGAATCCGTATGTTGTTGCTTGTCTTCGATGTTGGGGTTTGTTAGAATCGACAAAGACAGGTGAGACTGGAATAGCCATTTCTGGCTTGTTAGCTATCGTCAACCAGTCATACCCGACCCCCCGAAGTGTGGAACACCCAAGGCTCCAACTCGCGACCCGTTAGCTAGAAGTCCACGCCTCTAACCACTGGGCCACGAGCCCATTGCCCTGCTTCGTATCAGCTGACTTGAAGCAGAAATAGCTGCAATAGTGACTGTTTAAGTACCATTAATTTTTCACTTCGATTTTCGATGTTTTTTTTAATTCAAATGTGTCATTCAAAACATGCCTAAAATATTCATTCTTTGCACATTTGGTAGAAAACTGCGTCTTCGTTAAATTTTATCCTTGAGCGAAATATAAAATCCGGTTTTGTAAAAGCTCTCATTATGGGATAATTTAAGCGCGTGAAATGGCCCCTTCATAAGCCCTCGCGTCTCTGATTTTACTTATGTTGCCTGTAAAGACTACAATATTGCTCAAGTGCACTACTAATCTTTACGAACCCCAAATGCTCACCCTCTTAATAACATATGGAAATGAACTATTTTCTGATCGCGGAAAATGCATTGCTTGTAGTTTTGAAACCGTCAATGCAAGTGGAACGGCGGTTAAGGTCCAAAATTATTTGGGAAATGGAAAAGCTTTTTTTAAAAGAAGACGTGGTTTTCTGCAAAATTTGTAGGGGAATAAATGTCTTTATGCAGACTTTCTGGGAGATGTAGTTGAATTTAAAAAGGTATCAAAAATCAATGAGAAAGGTTAATGCGAATTAAACAGCCAATTTTATAGAGTGTTGGTTTTTCAGGCGGCCAAAAATAAACATTTTCAAAGGCCGGTATCCTGGGATAACTGAATTTTCACAGAATTATGCCGCATAATTATCTGTTTTACAGTCCTACGTAATTAGTATTTTCGAGTCGAAAACACATTTTAAAATTTCGGTTAATATTTTTTATGAGTTAGCAAATCTACTGTATATTCAAAGTAAATGGCACGCTCGCTGTAGAAACCAATGTCTGCCAGCACGCATTTGTTCCATAGGCCACTAGGACAATTCAGTCGTTTTTACGCAAAAAAATCGTACGTTGGTTTGACTATCGCAAACAACTGGGGTCCCTCTAAGTGAGGCGATTTATGAGACAGTTCAGGACTATGTGTGGAAGCGCCGCCATTAGCAGAAGGCGAGCGCTGCAAAATACCATCTCTACACACGATGTGCTCCCTAGCCGGATGCACGTACTCACACATACGTGGACCACCCTAAGCAATCGATCTGTCAATCACGGCCCACCGAGTCGAGTGTGACGCATGCACTGGCAATAACTCAGGTCCATTAAAACTCAATTTAATTTTTCCTGTTGTCGCAGTACGTGGAGCATGTGAAACAGTCTGGTTGTGAGATGGAAAATAACTGAAAAGTGCAAATCTCAGGCAGATACCGAGGCATGTGACATAATCTATAATGTGGTGGAAAACTACGTACTGGGATCGTTGAGCACTGGCAATATCTGAAGTCTAATATGACTTCATTTAATATTTTGGCTGTTATTGTGATGAATAATCAATGACAGGCAATGAAGATGCCTAACGGGTGGAAAGCTATTTTGCAAGCAGCTGACCTTCAACTCGTCAATTGCGACAAAAGGCCGTGAATGAAAGTTCAGATGTCTGTCATGTCCTTACTGACATAACGTTCTCTTGTTCGCAGTAAATTTCTCGTGGACTGGAATAGCCAGACATTAAGTATCTGAAGACAGGGCAATTTACTCAGTATCATCTGACTTAACGCAGCCATGTCTGAAAAATTCACTAATTTTCTGCAGACGACAGTTTTATTTGTGCTCGCCACTGAACCGCCTCAGATTGTTTCCTTAAACAACAAGAATGTAGTCACTAAAAACGAAGTTGGCGAGTTCCGGAATGCATTGCCCTCATCAGCCAATCATACCCAACCCCGATCATGTTTGTCGATGATCTAGGGATCCGGATTCGAACTCCAAGTGATCACACTTCGAATTTGCGTTGGCTGGCTGGTGACGGCTAAAAAGCCAGAAACGTTCATTTGGAACTCCCCTGCTTTTTGTCGGCACTACCTAATTTCCCTATACCACTAGCGGCATTGGGCTAAATGTATATTAGCACTGGTGGGGGGGGGGGGAAACGCGGATATCTATTGCCAAGTAAGAGGTACGCTTCCGCATCTTTTCGGCTTTTGTTCTGTAGTGTGTATTGATGCGGCAACTGCGTTTATGTGACAGGAGATGGTTGCAGTTGTAGTGAAGAATGCTCTCCGTGCTTGTCGCTTTTCAGAAGACACCAGTCTGGAGGGCTCCGTTACCCTACCTCGATACCCGGACGTCGAGGAAGGGAAGCATCCGGTCCTTTTTTTGTGAAACCCGTAAAGTCGGCAAAACTCGCCTTGTTGATGTTTTCCTTTTGATAGTAGCCGACAATTCCCCGAGGTCATGCAGCCAGATGAATCATGCATCAACTGTCTTACTAATTTTTATGTCGCGTGTTAAAAGTTCAGGGCGAAGTTGAAGGGAAGAAAGTCGCTCGGAACAGGATAACTAACACGACGGCCGCTTGCTGACGAAAACTCCAGAAATTATTGGCTATGTATGTTCGTTTAACATGTTAACTGTTTTGCCCATTTGTCGTGTGTCTGACAAGGAGCAGTTGTAATGGTGTAGGAAAGTTAACCAGTAAGATTTTTTGCTTTTCCCAAAGATCATATTTAACCGTAACCTATATTTGCTGGATTGCCTACTGCGAGTTGATGGCACGGCCGAGCCCGCATCTAGGCACACCACCTCGTCCACACACCAGATGACCAGGATTTTAACGAACAACATCATCAACAACTACGCCAGCAGCAGAGAGCCGAGGACGATTGGGTATCGGGAGCGCCAGCGAACTAGGTGTCATCGCATACCAGGCTGATCCTAGAATAGCAGACGCTTTCTCGTTCGACTCTAACCACCCCGACCTTCGACATGGACCGCTGATTTGTCTCCTCCCCCCCCCCCTCCCTCCTCCCGAGCAATGCGGGGGGTCTTGTGCTAACTTCCGGGAAGGGAACCGAGTCTCGTGTCCTTACTCTTACCCTAACGCTAGCTTTAAATCTACCCCACAGCCACCTGTATTACGGTAATCTCCCGCCTCCACACCCTGCCGGTGAGCCAGTATCTGGTAGAAGGGAAAACTGTGTTCTATGCAGAATGCGGGACAAATAAGTTAGATCAAGTTGGTAGGCGAACAGAGCGTCACACGCCCAACGCCGCGGAACTGGTGTCCGACTGCCACTTGGGCAAGTCTCCGAGTGTCTTAGGCGGGAACATGTCTGTACCGAAAACCGGACAGGGTCATTTAGTTTCAGGAACTGACTGGACGCTATGGTAACATTGTGCAGGACCTAAAAATGCCAGAATAAGGACTGCTACTAGTGCGAATACGTGCAATTTTGGACCAGACAGAGATCCGTTCCGGCAGCAGCCACTCAGGGCTTCGTCCCGCTACAACACATTGTTACATAACACTATATCGGCCTTTTGAGACACACTTGGCATGAATAAAATCATCAGTCCGTTCCTATCTCGCGAGTAAAACTAATCTCAAAAAGCCACACGACAGTTCGACTGTCGATTTCGACGATGTCCACCGTGTGCTTCACAGCTGCAGCAGCGGTGGGAGCAGGGACGGTGACTTGCGGAGGGGTTTGTAGTGCCAGTAGACTTGCGCTGCTTCTACCTACACTCTCTCCTCCTCCCCCGCCTGGGCCCGGTGTCAAGACAGAGTCAAGATGGCCGGAGACGAGAGAGGCCGCAGGTGGATGGCTCGGATGGATCCTCACCTTGGCGTTCCACCACACCCCCTGGTCCACACAACAAATAACCAGGATCTTGACCAGCACAACAGAAACTGGAGGCTGGCACGACCGAAGCCGCACCTAGGCGTGCCGTCAACGCCTGCCTCGGATCCCACACTGTGGTTGGAGTGCCATAAAGGCCACATTAAAAAGGGGCCATTGCAGCCTGACTCTCAGACTACCACCAGTCAAGGAGGAGGTCCAAGTTACCCCGTCAGTTGGCAACCTTCCAAGCCACGGCTTTTAGCTCACCGTGATAGCTTCAAGCGCGTCAGATTGTTTATAGTGAGGAGAAAGTGCGCTGAGTCGTCGACCTCACTCTCCCTTCCCACTCCCACACCCCAGCCGCTGTCCGAGCCGGTCAGCAGACTGGAGTGGGAAATGGGCGCGGTGGCTGTCACAGTTGACTGACCATGCCTGCGCGCGCCACAGCACGACCTGGCCCCCCATACACACAACACCAGGATTTCACACGACGGGGATTGAACGGCGTGTATCTCACTTGCGTGAGAGGGCCGTGGACGGTGCTGTTTCAGCCCGTTTCCAGCCCACGAGTCCGCCACTCCACACAACACACACACACAGCGCGACGAGCTGCGTGTACGGAGTGGAGGCGTCAATCAGCAACCTTCCTATCCTCGACGCTTGACGTGTCGGGATAGTCTCAGACTCAAGTCACCAGTGCAGTCGAGGCCGCATGGGGACCGAGTCGAGATGCACACTTCCCACTTGCGTGGAAGGTGGCAGTTGGGTGCATGCGGTGGGTGAGTGATGATGTGTGGCGGGGTTGACAGTGGTGGAGGATGTAGGGAGTGTGTGGATGTGTGGCGTAACCGGCGGTTATCTACCGCAGGTCGTCGTGGATGCGCATGTGGCCGAATAGACCCATGTGATGCCTGAAAGTGCGAGGGCAGTGTGGGAAGTTGAGACGAGCGTGGTGGGTGTAGGTTGATGTTCCAGGTACTGCTTCGCCAGTCTCTGTGTGATGGATTCGCAAGTGACCGACCAGGCAAATGTGTGAGGTGAAGTTGCGGTCGCAGTGAGGGCAGGTATAGTCCTGATCTTCACCGCTGGGGTCGGAGGTAGTGGAGGTGGTGTCGAAGATTGTGTCAGGGTTGTTGATGTGCGAGATGGTCGCAGGAGCGGCCGTCGTTGGAGCAGTGGAGGGCGATGATGATGAAGATGATGATGATGACGACGACGACGATGATGATGATGATGATGATGGTGGTGGTGGTG